AAAAAAAAAAAAAAAAAAAAAAAAGAAAAAAAAAATTGAATCAAAGCTCTAATGTGTCACCTTTGATGTGTAGTCATTTTGTAAGTCAAAATAACCCAGGATTGATTTGGTGTTGGATTACACTTTCAAAGTGTGCTTTTTTTATATGTAAATCGTCATCCGGCAATTCTATTTTCGACTTCGGCAGCTCCTTGTCATAAAATTCTATATCCGTCTGAAGGGATGGCAATTATGTAGGACAACATGAAGATATGTCAATGCCAGCCACCTCCATTGCATTGCATACCCATTGAGGAACATCTCCTTTGGGGAACTAACAAAATGTTCAGCAGAAAACTATTAGATGATTTTGTAAATAATAGAAAAAAATAAAATAAATAAAATAACATAAGCCATTGAAGTACAAGTGTGAGTGCAGAAAATGACTCATTAGATGATATTCATTACATGGAGTATTTTATGGGTGTTGTGTCTTATTACTATTAAAGGACCTCTTTTGGCCTACAGACAATGCAATAGAAAATATTCCAGGAAAATTACCATTTTTTGAAGGAACTCGCAGACAAATCTGAAAAAAACAAATAAAAAAATAAAAAAAAGAAAAACAGAAGTAAAAACGGTGAGTACTACGTTAGTTAGTTATTAAACAAAAAGAAACAGAATGACAGGTGGATGAGCTTTTATTAAAACAAATAGTTAAATAAAAGATTAATGTTGCTAAAATTAACCCAAATGAAAGCATGAACAATATATAAATAGAATAGATAAAACATACTGCGGGAACCGGCCTTCAACAATTGATGAGTGTAAATCCCTGCTAAGCTGCAACAGTGATGCAAGTACAGGTAAAACCCACTTACCAGTAAAAGATAAAAAGATTCATAAACAAATTTTTAAGCAGTGTTAAGACAGACAAACATACCTTCATCATGTAAAATAAATTGTGATAAGATAAAAGTTGAGATCCCATTGCATCTTTGGTGACAAGGCAGTGAATGTATGCTCTCGAGTACTTCTTACAAACCTGTGCGGCACTCTCCAAATTAAAACATCATCCAAAATAGATGAAATTTTCAACAATTAAGGAAAACAAGTGGTGACGTACCATGCATTCACATGTAGGGTCGATCGGGCGAGTATCATTAGCCATTGCTTGGTTTTTAAGTTTTAAAACTCCCTGTAAAAGTAGACAACGCCCAGCAAACAAGAATACATATCTATCATCGCGCATTTAAGTAAAGTATAATCTAAACAACAATTTCTTGAAACTATTTAAGCATGAAAACTTTGATAGGTTACGAAAAGAAACATAGTGTTTCTT